TATATACTACTCTACACCTACTACTTACTTACTTATTTAGTATAGTTGTTACTATACTACTATAACTACTATATATATATATATATATATATATATATATATATATAGCGACTGAAGCTCTAAATAATCAAATTAAAGCCCACATAAAAATATTCACTAGAAGAGGTGGTTTTGATGCCCAAATACCTACAAATTGATCATCTCGATATCAAAATGCATGGACAAGAAAAAAATGGATTTCAAGTTTTGAAAATATTCCATCTTGTAAGACATTTTTTGAACGTCAATTTTCAATATTTTCAAATTTTCATAAATCTTCTCGATCTACACTATTTTTTAAACTTTAAGAGTTTATAATTAAATATTAATATATATATTTAAAGACTTTCACAAAGATTTCTAATATTGAAACCACATTTCTCAACACTATTTGAATGTGCGCTTTACATTGATTGTCTAAAGCGTCGGCTCTATACAAACCACACCCTAGAGGGAAATAGGGATGGAACGTACACCATCCCATAACCGATTCAGTCCCAACTGATTCCCATCCAAAGATTGATGCTCAAGATAAAAAAACCATTGGGTTTTAAAACACTAAATATTTTGATAAATTTCCCTAATATATACTTGTCTACCCAAAAATAAAAAAAAGATTCCTTCTCCCTACACATTCTGTCCCTACACATTCTGTCATACTAACATGCTTCTCCTCCAACAACAAATTTTCATTCATTTTTTGTATTCTTATAAGCTAGCCATCTCTTATGATGATGTTTCGGTAGGATCGATTGCAAAACTTTTTGTTCTTTAATTTTTCTTGTGAAAGAATTTTAATTCTTTCTTGCGAAAGAAATAATTACTTTGAAGACACAGATTTTAAGGGCATAATTTTCCATCTAAATTCCGGTTAGGCTAAATTTCAGACCTTTTTTAATCAATACGTTGTCTTACTTGTTTTTTTCTTTTATCCCCAACTGAAAAAAGCACACTCCTTCGTTAAAACAAAAAACGATAACATGAAATGAAAAACACACTTCTCTGTCTCCATTTTTCAAAGTTGAAAACGACCCTATCTATTTTCAACTATTTACACTCCGTTAGGAGACAGGGCCATAACAACTTCGTTTTCCCTAGAACGTTGATTGTTGCCACGCGGCGTTGTTGCAACGGTTGATGAGGAGGCGGTGTGGAATCACAACCCTTCTTTCTTGTGTTTCCTCTTCCTTAGCGGGACCATTTGCTTCAAAATGCTTCTCTGACCACAAAAAAATATATATATATTAAATTTTTTTATCAAATAAATACTACAAAGTTTGCTCTCCACTTTTACAAAAAATAACGGAAATACCCCCTTCAGCCGAACGTCTTCCACCGACAACTACAGAGAAACGACCGCCCCTCACTAACAGCCAAGCCAATTGGAAAAAATGAATTACTTATTTTTTACAAAAAAAAAAGAACTTGTTTTTAATCCAAATGAATGTGTTCAAAACTTCATTTTTTCAGCTTCATCATTTGTATTTAATCCGTACTTTGAAAATAAAACAAACGCCGCTGATATATCTTAAAGGTCCATTTTCATAAATTTCTCAAAAATAAAATCTAAAGATTGCAACATTAACATTAAAATGCCGGGGTGATTTAAATTCCAGATTCCGATATGCGGTTACCTACCGGATCCAAATCACCCCGGCCATCTAAGAAGACCAAGACACCTTAGTTTAAGCATATATGATTAATAAACAAATTTACAGAATTTTTGGGAAATATCATTTTGAAAGACTAAAAGTAAGCCAATACATTTATCGAAATTTTGAGTACTATATCGTTAATAACATTAAGGAAATTCTGAGTATTATATCGTTAATAATATTGAGGAAATTTTTAAGGTTTTTGGATGATTTGTTTCTCTGAAATTACCAAACGGTCCCCTTGAATACTTTTTTTTTTCTTAAAATTCCCAATAATTCATCCAAGGGGGAATAGAAAACCATGGTTACCCCTGCATAACACGAATATTTCCAAACTATCCATGGTACAAAACTACAAAAGTCCCAGTATCCAAGGAGAATGTCAGAATTTCACCCCAAAAAAAACAGAAAGAAGGGGAATAGAAAACCACGGTTACCCCTGCATAACACCAACATTTCCAAACTGTCCATGGTACAAAACTACAAAACTCCCAGTATCCAAGGAGAATGTCAGAATTTCACCCCACAAAAAAAAGAAAAAAAGAAAAGAAGGAGAATATCAGAAGTCAGAACAGATCTGTGATCGCCTGCCAAAAATTTGCAATTCTTCAAAAGGAGAAAAAAATCATTTTCATCTCACTACAAAAGAAAAGAAAATGAAGAAAGTCGGAGAGAGAGAGAAATAAAATCTCAATTTTAATAAATAAAAAATATGGAGAAAAAGAGAGAGAGAGCAGTAAAATCTCACTAAGAAAATCAGAGAGGAGAGAGAGAAATGCATCGTTTTTCATTGAACTTACCAGCAAACCCGACGTCTTACTCAGGCTCAAGAAGCTATCCTTCCGCACCACCCTCGTGATCCTGACCGCCCCTTCTGTCACGGAAGCCGAATCCCAGCCGTCCATTCTCTTTCCATCACCACTCAACCTGAAAGACTCCGAAAGCCTAAGAGACCCACCCTTATTAGGCCATACTCTCCGACCCCAAAACCCAAAAAAGTCCCCATGTCTACCACTATTACTAGGGCCGGTGCCCTTTGATTTTGTAGAGGAGTTGCCCATATAAGGGCCTTGTAGGACACTAGTTGGAGAGGGGTCATTTTGATCCATGACACTATTGATACAAAGGAACCTATTAGGGGGAAGGTCTAGGCGCCGAACCAAGGGGGTGAGGTTGGGGAGGGAGGTTCGGGGCTTGCCAGGTGCTTCTTCCCATAGGAACGGAATTGAAGCTGGAGGTCGAAGAGGGGGTGTGGCCATGCCGGCAGGTTCGGGGGATTGGTTGGGGAGGGGGAGAAAAGAAAGCGTTGGTGTGGAGCTTGGCTCGGGGTCTGGCTCGGCTCCCATGGTTTGGTTGGGTTGAGCAAGAGAGAGAGGTGCAGATGATGGAGTAAAAGAGAACGGAGAAGGGGGGATGGATTTATAAGAGAGAGAAAGAGAGAGATTCCGGGGAAACGCTCTCTCCGCTCTTTCCATGTGCAGGACTCAAAAAAGTCACGAGGAAACGGGGGCTTACTCTTATTGCTGGGTTTGAAGTTCTTGAACAGCCCATGGCTTTTCATGAAAATCCTAAACATAACCCCATCACGTTTCTTTGTCTCTTAGCTTGCTTTCTTTCTTTCTTTCTTTTTTTTTTTTCTTTTTATTATTTATTTATTTGTGTGGAACACAATTAATTTTTTTTTAAAAAAATATATACAGAGATCACTACTTTTAATGAAAAAAAAATTTTACAATCACTTATATCTATCAGATTTCAAATCAAACGGATTTTAATGTGATGGTTGTGATTATATGTTTGACTAGACTAAAAATCCAAAAAGAATTTTCAGAACTTCGTAACATATCTCAAACCACCGAACAATACATCTAATGACTAGGAGTAATTGTGACATTATTGTATTAAAGATGAGTAATAATCCTATGAGACCCTCCCACATCCATGTGTGTAAGACCTCAAACGATCACCATTAAATTTGATACAAATCACCATATAATAACTTTTCTAGAGATCTGTTAAATTTAATAGTGATCCTTTAGGGTCTTATACACATGAGTGTGAGAGAGTACCGTAGGATCATTAACTAATTAAAAATATATGGTCTCATAATATTAGAGAATCTTTTCGATTTTCTAGTTAATAAATAAATGATGAAGTACAAATGATTTCTTTAAAATTTTGTTTAATATTTTAAAGATTGCTCATTAGGAATTCTTCACGTGGCCAGAGGTTCTTTCTACAACAAGAAAAGCCTAGCCTAATAAGGAGGGCTTGGGCCACAAATTATGGCCGGAGGGTGAGGCGAGGACCAGTACGGGCTCGACTCACTTTTTTTTCCCTTTTTTCTCTTCTTTTAAGGGAATTTAATTTTGTAGCTTGTCTAACAAAAAAAACAAAACACTATGGGGAAGCTATGCATATCTACAACATGAACGGAGGCCTCGAATATCAAGTTGTATGGATTTTGAGTATCATAAAATTTTACTTAATACATGTAGGCAACACTCTAAAAAAATGCAGCCCTATCTATCCAGTGTTACATTTGGACATAACGCACAGATTTCAAATTGAATCCAGCCAGGATCCAATTGGAGTTTATTAGACCTTGCAACTTGACCTTTTCTTTCACACCTCAGACATTCCATTATGATTGTGGCCCCAAATCTAGTGCCACTAATACAGTTGGACTAAACACCGGACCCCACAAATTTTTCGATCCAAGCGCTCGGTTTCATGGTCCATAGTGGATTTTGAGCATTAGGATAATGTAACATATCGCTTACTTGGGAAAATAAACAGGGATTGCTTCTACATGGTGGAGCCACAACAATCAACCAGTCCCTAGTGTCAATGTTCCATGACTTGTCCCGGGTAAAATTGGACCCGGGGGAGTTACTCGGACTCACCATATTGGTTGAGTAGGATTTCCATCCTACATTGTGTTATAATGTTAAGGGTGCGGTTTGTATAGAGCATAGGCTCTAAACTAAAAACACGACCTATGTAATCTTTTGTCGAGAAAATACAATTTTTTTTAAAAAAATAAAAATAATAATCACCCCTTATAATTTTGGCAAGAAGGTCACTTATAGATGGTTTCATTACAAACAATAGAAATTTCAAAAATGAATAATACATCAATAAAATAAATATCAACTACTTGATGTCATTCATACAACCTAATACTGTGCTTGGTAATATAAAAAAATAATAATAATAATAAAAGAAAAGATGCCGGAGATTACCTCAACCGGGTTTTTTACACCTCACACCAAGTCACCACATCCAATGGCGCGGGATCAACGGTCTAGCTTCAATCTCAAACCAAGAAAGCTAATTTCAGTCAAACTAGGTAACCACCTTTAAATCTCTACAAAGCCCTAATTCCAAAATAATTAGGCTAAAACCTTAATTTTCCCAATTCGTAGATTAAATCTTGAGAGAGAGATAGTAGAGAGAGAAAACCAGAGAGTAGAGAGAGAGGGAAGTGGCCCCTAGGGAAGAGAGAGAGAGTTTATTGGAACGAGAGGTGTGTAAAGATGGGGGAGAGTACCTCTATTTATAATGAAATTTAAGTCTAGGGTTTCTTTAGGGTTTTCTATAATTTGCTTCTTTTTTTAGATTGAATATGGACCGTTGATCAAGGTGACTTGTGGGGTGAGAGATCTGAGTCATCCATTCCATAGATGGGTCATCAACATTATAGAATGTGCATGAACCATTATCCCTCTTTCCTTAAATCATTTTCCCATCAATATATTTAAATAAATTAAATCCATTACAGATATAGTACATACCATAAATTGCATATTCCATTTCATATTTTCCATAAGAATATTTCAATAATATCAAGTCAAGATATTCCTCCAATAATCAAGATAAGATATGCTCCATATTTCCTAATCAATATTTGACCATATGCTACAAGATATAATTACCATATTTAATAAACTTGAAGACAAAGCAACAAGAGAAGGTATCCAAGGGTGGGGCGTCCCACCCATGTATGGTATGTGGGGCCCTACGTAATACCCACATGGTAGGCTCATGTGCACCATGGGCCTCCATATATTTTTTTAATAAATATTTTAAAATTAAACAAAATGAATTTTAAAATATTATAACTTCGTAAATTAATAACTTCATTTTTATAAATCCAAAAAAATAAATAAAATATCAAATGACTTATAAAAATTCAAATAATAAATCTAAAATAATTTAATAATAAAATGAACACAATTAAATTAATATAATGGGAAGTGGATCCATATGGTTCACGAATTCAGAATTCAATCAATGATCACAAGGTACTTCACCTTTAACTGTGGACTACAGAGCACACTCGCTTCATCGAACCGACCCAGTGTTTTCCATGACCCACAATCCAAGTAGGGGCTCATTAGCGGGTCACCAAAGTCTGGTCGATGAGCCAATGAGCGCAATCCCAGTCTGTGGATTACAGATCCTCCCCTAGAGACAAGTCAAGGTCACAACGATTTGATGCGACCACAGCTCTATGGTGCATAGGGGTATCTCTCGCATATGTATATGCTTCACCCAAAAGTGGATATCTAGCTTTCCCGAATGATCTATCTATATGCATGCCGTGTGATGGAACATGGATGAGTCTTTTACCCCCATCTCTATAGGCCTACCATCACACATAAAGGTCACACAGTTATTCGGCTCACTCATCTAAGCATAAGCTCTGACCTCATCAAGGGCTAACCCAAAAACCCTTCTCGGTTTATTTTTTATACCCAAGTACCTTGGGTTTTCCAACCGACTGGCCTAGATCGTCAAACACAGTCCAATATCCGCAAATATCATTTACTTAGTATGATCTTCGAGGGACCATACTACCACTGGTGTACATTCCACTATAATAAATGTTTTTCATTACACACTCATAAGGCCTTTAAAGGCCACATAAACCCAACATAAACAATCAAATTAGAGCCTACCTTCAAATAGTATCTAGAAATGTGGTTTCATTATTGGAAATCTTTGTGATAGCCTTAAAATATATTTTCATATTTATTTATAAAATTTAAAGCTTCAAAAATAGTGTAGATGATAGATTTATGAAAACTTGAAAATCTTGAAAATTGACTGTCCAAAATTGCGTTACAAAATACACTATTTCCAGAACATGAAATCCATTTTTTTCTCATGCCCATGCATCTTAATGTCGAAATGATTAATTTGAAGATATTTGGGATCAAAACAACCTCTTCTAGTAAAATTTTTGAGGTAGGCTCAAATTTGATTGTTTAGAGCCACGGCTCTCTATAAACTTTTTCCTAATGTAAATAATATTTTGTTTAGTGTAATTTGAATAATATTTAAATATCTTTTTTGTTATTATTTATTGGGTGTGCTTTGTACTGAGCCTAGGCTCTAAACAATCAAATTAGAACCTACCTTCAAATAGTGCCGAGAAATGTGGTTTCAATACTGGAAATCTTTGTGATAGTCTTAAAATATATTTTCATTTTTATTTGTAAAGTTTAAAACTTAAAAAATAGTGTAGATCCATAGATCTATGAAAATTTCAAAATCTTGAAAATTGACTGTCCAAAAAAGTGTTAAAAGATGCATTATTTCTAAAACTTGAAATCCATTTTTTTTCTCATGTCCATGCATCTTGATGTCGAGATGATCAATTTGATGATATTTGGGCATCAAAACAACCTCTTCTAGTGAAAATTTTGAGGTAGGCTCTAATTTGATTGTTTAGAGCCTAGGTTTTATGTAAACTTTTCCCTTATTTTAAGGGGTGCGGTTTGTATAGAGCCTAAGCTCTAAGCAATCAAATTAGAGCCTACCTTCAAATAGTATCGAGAAATGTGGTTTCAATACTGAAAATCTTTGTACTAGCTTAAAGCTTAAAAAATAGTAGATCGACATGTCTATGAAAACTTGAAAATATTGAAAATTGACGGTCCAAAAATGCATTACAAAATATACTATTTCCAAAAGTTGGAATCCATTTTTTTCTCATATCCATGCATCTTAATATCAAGATAATCAATTTTAGGAAATTTGAGCATCAAAACAATCTCTTCTAGTAAAATTTTTGAAGTAGGCTCTAATTTGATTGTTTAGAGCTTGGGCTCTATATGTACTTTTCCTTATTTTATAATGGGCTTCGTGTTTGGGGTTCGTACTCCCTCAAATACCACCGTATTCCCTATTTCTTAAAGGGTGCGGTGTCTATAAGGTTGCAACCTTAAACAATCCAATTAAGGCGCACCTTAAAATTTTATTATAACATATAATTTATTTACAAAATTCTTAGTATTATCTTAAAATCTATTTTTAAACTTAATTAGAAAATTTTAAATTCTACAAATGGTTAAAATCAAGTAGATCTATAAATATATGAAAATCTATTTTATCACAACTATAATTTTATTAAAATCTATTTTCACACTTAATTAGAAAATTTTAAATTCCAAATATGGTTAAAATCAAGTAGATCTATAAATATA